TGCCGTGTAGTGGCGGTTAAGAATATCCACTACCCCATATCTTCCCGTGGGTGTCGTAAAAGGCGACAAAGGGAAACAGGCAGGAGATGGGCAGCAGCATCTTCCTGGTAACGGCAAAAATACAATAAAAAACTGCGGTTGCCAACCCGCTCGCCAAGCGTGGCAACTATGGCAATATACCCCCCATAATGAAAGTTACGAAGAGACGGCCCCCAGTCCCCGGCGGCCCCGCTATTCCTGGCTACGGTGGCGACCATGGTAACGGCGGGGCAGGGGGTGCTAAGAATCTCCGGTGGAGGTTCGGTTGCCACCTACAACGACTCGACCTGGCAACATACAACGCACGCACCCTGAGGACTGACGAGAAGATTGTGGTGCTGGAAGAAGAGATAGACAAGTTACGCTGGCATATTATAGGATTATCCGAAGTCCGAAGAGAGGGGGAGGACACGGTAATCCTCGAATCCGACAACTTGCTCTATTACAGGGAGGGCGACCATCTGTCCCAAGGAGGTGTCGGATTTATCATCCACAAGTCTCTCGTTAACAACGTTGTAAAGATTGAGAGTGTGTCGACGAGGGTTGCGTACCTTATACTCAGAATCACCAAACGGTATTCGCTGAAGGTCATACAGGTTTACGCACCAACCTCGGCACACCCCGATCAGGAGGTGGAGGAAATGTATGAGGATATCTCTAGAGCCATGCATTCCTCCAAAACCCAATATACGGTGTTAATGGGAGACTTCAATGCAAAACTAGGCACAAGAGAGAACGGTGAGCTGAAAGTGGGGAAATTTGGAATAGGGCAACGGAACCCAAGGGGCCAGCAGTTGGCCGACTTCATGGAGAAAGAGGGACTCTTTATGATGAACTCTTTCTTCCAGAAGCGGCCCCACAGGAAGTGGACCTGGTCGAGCCCCGACGGTTCGACAAAAAATGAGATTGACTTCATTATGACGACCAGACGACAACTGTTCAGTGATGTCTCAGTGATCGCGAGGGTGAAAACCGGCAGCGATCACCGAATGGTTAGAGGCACACTGAACCTAAACGTTAAGTTGGAGAGGTCTCGTCTAATGAAGTCAACGCTCCGTCCCCCTCGTGCTCTAATCCAAAGTCAAACCTTTCAGCTCGAGTTGCAAAACCGTTTTCAGTGCCTAGAAGACTGCAATGAAGTGGACGATTTGAATGACAAGCTCGTGGAAACTGTCCATGCAGTCGGAGCTAAGTTCTGCAAGACCCGCCGCAGAAGAACACAAAAACTCTCCGATCACACTCTTAATCTCATGGCTGTTAGACGGGAGATGAAGCTACATTCTTCAACAGATTTGACAGCATACAGGCAACTGAATAGACAGATTTCCAAATGCATGCGGCGGGACTTACGCAACTTCAATACAGCTCGTATTGAAGAAGCGATCGAGCGGAACCAAGGCTCCAAAGTCTTTGCCAGAGATCTGTCTGCCAGAAAGAGCCAACTGTCAAAGCTGAAGACCGAATGTGGCGGCATCGTTTCCGGGGCACCTGAGATTTTGAGTGAGATTGAGAGGTTCTATGGGCAGCTGTACACATCATCGTTGGAGCCACACGCAAGTGTGAGTAACGATCCAAGAGCGAGTCTTATCCGACATTATTCCGATGATATCCCGGACGTCAGTCTGAGCGAGATTAGAATGGCTCTCCAGCACGTTAAAAACGGCAAGGCCCCAGGCCAGGATGGAATTACAGCGGAGCTTCTGAAAGCGGGTGGAAAACCGGTACTTGAAGTCCTTCAGAAGCTCTTTAATTCCGTCCTCCATGGTGGCATTACACCGGAGGCGTGGAGCAGAAGTGCGGTGGTCTTGTTCTTCAAGAAAGGCGACAACGCTCTCTTGAAGAACTACAGACCGATTTCCCTTCTGAGCCGCGTCTACGTGCTGTTTTCGAGAGTCATTACGAATCGTCTCGCGCGCAGACTTGACGACTTCCAGCCTCCCGAACAAGCCGGTTTCCGAAAAGGCTTTAGCACCATAGACCACATACATACCCTTCGGCAAATTGTACAGAAGTCCGAGGAGTACAATTTGCCACTATGTCTGGCGTATGTGGACTATGAGAAAGCCTTTGATTCCGTCGAAATTTGGGCGGTGCTGCAGTCACTTCAGCGATGCCAAGTTGACTGTCGGTATATCGAAGTGTTGAAGTGCTTGTGCAGTAGGGCTACGATGGCTATCCGAGTACAGAACCAGAGTACGAAACCTATCCAATTGCAGAGAGGTGTAAGACAGGGTGACGTCATATCCCCGAAACTCTTTACCGCTGCATTGGAAGATGTTTTCAAGCTTCTGGACTGGAAAGGATACGGTATCAACATCAATGGCGAGTACATCACTCACCTTCGATTTGCCGACGATATAGTCCTTATGGCAGAATCGCTGGAAAACCTAGGCACTATGCTCAATGACCTCAATAGTGTTTCCCAACGGATAGGTCTTAAGATGAACATGGACAAAACAAAGATCATGTTTAATGTCCATGTCACACCTATGCCGGTAGTTGTTGGGAACACTAAGCTCGAAGTTGTTGACGAGTATGTTTACCTGGGACAAATAGTCCGACTAGGTAAGTCCAACTTCGACCGAGAGGTCAATCGACGGATTCAACTCGGTTGGGCAGCGTTCGGGAAATTACGGCACATCTTCTCGTCAGGTATACCTCAAAACTTTAAAACGAGACTGTACACCCAGTGCGTGTTGCCAGTGATGACATACGGAACTGAGACGTGGTCCTTCACTGCTGGCCGGATGAGGAAGCTCAAGGTCGCTCAGCGAGCTATGGAGAGGGCTATGCTCGGAGTTTCTCTGCGTGATAAACTCAGAAATGAGGATATCCGCAGTAGAACCAGAGTGACCGACATAGCCCAACGGATTAGTAAGCTGAAGTGGCAATGGGCCGGCCATATAGCTCGAAGAGCCGACAACCGATGGGGAAGAAAGGTTCTCGAGTGGCAGCCTCGTACCGGCAGGCGAAGTGTAGGGCGTTCCCCCACTAGATGGAGTGACGACCTGGTAAGATATGCAGGAAGTCGATGGATGCAGGTGGCTCAGGACCGTGCTTTGTGGCATTCTTTGGGGGAGGCCTATGTTCAGCAGTGGACTTGTGAAGGGCTGTGATGATGATGATGATGATCAAGGATACTCCACCTAATAAAGAACCTGTGTCTTTAACTATTATTGTTTTGATTTTATTTAATTACACACTATACTAGAATATTTAAAAACAAACTGTTCCCAAATGATATTAGGGTTACTGGTTCAGTCACTTCACTAGTATTGTCAATTCGTCATGTGTCAAATCGGTAATAACTCAGCGGCCGGACTATAAGTTTAGAAATTATGTGCCTGCAAGCTAATTTTTAAGTTAAGCTTCGAAATGTAGAACCAATGGCGATAGGGTGTTACCATTATCCTTTATTTTTTTGAAGGCACATAATCTTGCCCCAAGAATGGAATGAAATTTGGATTAATATTACCAGAAAGTATAAAAGTACATAGTTTTGTAATGTCATTAACAAGTACTTCGCCGGCGTCACCAGCAGAAGCGCTTACAAGATCCTTAAGATGTTGAGGCGTAATTCCATCAATGCCGCTAGCGGAGCCATTCGAAAATGACATAATTTCTTCTAAAGTGTCTTTTTCAGCAATATGTAAAGATTGCATAAAAATCTTGGGAGGTAGCGGTAAAAATTGAAAAGGATTGACCGAAGGATGCTTCTGACGAAGGCCTTCAAGAGTTTCGACATTACAAGGAGCCAGGATGTCATGTGAGAATAAAATACGGAATGCATTTTTAAGTCCCCATCCATTACTCGTACTTTCGACTCAACTACTTTTTTTTAATCGAATTTAGGACGATGTCGATATAAGTTTTACGTAATTGATTTATTTATTATTTTATCAAAATGAAAATGGGAATACGCGAAAGTAAACAATTTTTTTTTCACTATCAGTGAAACAATTTTGAATAATGTCTAATGTCCTAATGTCTTTTGTTATTGTAAAACTAATTAGGTGTCTTTTATTTGGATACTAGCTGTTCCCCGCGACTTCGCCCGCGTGTTATTTGAGGTTTTAATTTTTTTGCGCGGAATCCTAATTCTTTTTCTAAAATAAAAGTAGCCTAAGTTACTCCTTGTGACATCAGCTATCTGCCAATGAAAGTCCCGTCGAAATCGGTTCAGCCGTTTCGGAGATTAGCCGGAACAAACAGACAGACAGACAGACAGACGGACAGAGAGACAAAAATTTTAAAAATTGTGTTTTTGTTATAAGTACCGTATTTACTTTCATATGCATTTAGTAAAAAGCTGGTATTTTAGCATTACAAACAGACACTTCAATTTTATTTATTTGTATAGATGTATAGATTACACCAGAATTAATAATATAATATGTATTGTAATGATGCGTGTCTGTTTCTTTTTCTTATTACGGATTCTATATTATGGATGTGTCAGCAAAAGCGTTTTCCTTAGATACGGAAAAAATTTTCAAGAAACATTATAATGTAATGGATAATAGCAATATTTAAAGTGTCTGCAAATATTATAAAGGAAGCACTTAAATCTTAGTTTAACCCATTTAGAGCGATAATTATTTTTGTGAAAAATTCATGGTTCATTAACAAAACCTGATCCAAGAAAGCCTAAAAACCGGGGGAAAAAATATTTAAAAAAAAAATTAAAAAGAGGGGGGCGACTGAGGGGGCGTACAACATATGGTACATTAGGACAATATGTATGCAAAAAAGACATGATTTTACTAATCAGATTTTATTTACTTTTTGGTCTGATACATAATAAAGCACTCTACGCGGACACCGATATTGCACTTGACACACCTTGTAGGACATTATTTGTGGCATGTGCATGTTATTGAAGATGATGGACTAGGACCTGGTTTTTCGCGTTGTTTATTACTATCGATAATATAATTTGCAATACGACGTCGAAAGTTTAGTTAGTCGATATTTCCTCCGTTATGTCTGTACAGCAGCCATGCATTATGTACAGACATGTCTATACAATGGAGAATCAAAGGCATATACCACTTTTTTCCTCGAATGCTAGTTGGCATTGACGATATATAATTCCAATCTGATAAATCTACTCCACCCATATTTTTATTGCATTGTTGAATGAGATGAGGTTGAGAAAGAGATATTTTCTTTTTTAGTTGCTGAGAATAGCGTACAGTTTTGTGAACAGGATCAACACCAACAGCATTAGAGCATACTGACACTATACTATTATCATGCCACTTGCAAATTATAATATCATCAGATATGCGATAGTCAGAAAAGCCTCTTCCTTTTGTCTTTGCTTCTTTGTTACCCAATAGAGGGCATCTATTTTCTCTGATACCAGTTATACGAAATCCCCTCTCAGTGAGTTCATGAACCAAAGGCACTTGCACCAAGACCAAGCTGGGAATATTGGGCATTCATAAATGTAGAAGCACCTTGGTATGGTTCAAACCAAGCAATGTTACCTCCTGATGTTGCACCAACCCATAATTTATATCCATATCTTATAGGCTTGACTCTAATAAACTGGTTGCAGCCGTGATGACCAAAATATGGGACTATAGCCTCATCGACACTATGATTCTCCTTATGTGGACAGTGCTCAAGAAACCTCGTAGTTAAAACTTTTAGTAAAGGACGAACTTTTGCAAATTTATCGGATATATCAAGTTTAGATTATCAGCAACATGAATATTAGAGTAAATTAGTGTAAATCTTTTTTTTTTTTTGAGACAAAGCTGAAGCAATCAAACTATTTCTTGAGTTAGATGCAGTTTCCCAGTACATTCTTCTTCTGCTCACTCAGCAAAAGCCACTGACTAACAAAATCCCTACCAAACATTTCATCTCTTCAATCTTGACGTCAGCAGAGAGAAGCTTACGTGCTAAGTATCTATTGGTTTCAATAGTAAGCATCTCAAATAATTCTTCTGAAAATAATAAAGAAAACCATTCTATCGGGCTTCTTTCAATAGGAGAATGATAAAGAGGTTGCCATCAATAGGTCTTAGCTGCAAGTCTCGTTTTCGCCAATTGTACTTCATGACACGTTTTTTAAAGTTTCTTGAAATTCGGGATAGGTTTGGTCCTCAGTTTCTGGTTCCTCCATTGAGGTTGAGGCAGCAAGCTCCGCTGGAGCTCGAAGCAAACTTCCAGACAAATTATTTATGCTGACGTTATCTTCGTCACCCAAGTCTTCGTCGGTCTGGTAATCATTGGCGGTGTCAGGTGGAAGTAAAAAAATATCAAAATCTTCTCTCTGGTTGCTAAAATCATCATCTTTCAATTTCATGTAATGTCAATGATCTAATAAAGCAATATAACACAAAAAGATAAATAAAAAGCTAATGTAATAATATGTAAATTGACTTAGGTAGTTCATGCTCATGCATAGACCTACTGTACCATATATGATACGCCTAATCTAGCACTGTGTACACCTTACTAAACTAATCCAAGTGAAACTTATTCGTAGCTATTACGTCTATTGTAGCCTAGTCTTTTAAATAATACCTATACATAACATGATTTACTATAGATATCATGAAACTTACCTTCTTGAAGACATTGTAAATTATTTTTTTCCGTTTCTGTCAAGCTATTTTAATATAAACTGAAGATACATATAACTCGCATAAAATGTGTATGTTATATTGTTAATATAAAACTAATACTCTGATTTATCTGCCACAACTAACCAAAAAAGGTAATAATTTGTGGTTACATCTAAAGATGACAACTATTTCTTGAAGAACTACAGACCGATTTCTCTTCTAAGACTAATTCCAGCCGCTCAATTTCACCATCGCACGTCGCGACAAAACTCGCGATACCATCCATACGATTTGCAAGAAATTATGTGATTTATAAGAAGTGTTCTTTCTCGTACAACTTCTTTGTGGAATCGTCTACCATCACTGATTTTTCCGGACCAATACGACCTAGGGACCTTCAAGAAAATAGCCCACTCTTTTTTAGAAGCCGGCAACACACCTGCTATTCCTCTGGTGTTGCAGTTGTTCGTGGTCGGCGGTCGATGCTTAACATCAGTAGAGCTGTAAGCTCGTTTGCCTCCTCTTCTATAAAAAATAAATAAAAGCACCTATATCTTGTTTGGGCACCCGTTACGCTCTACTGACCGCCGCCGTAAATGAGATGGTTATTACCATTTATAGAAAGTCACAAGACCCTTTTACCGTGTCTTATAGTCGCCTTTTAGAACACTCACGGAACGAAATGTTGTAGTGGTTACTTTTATACCGCCATCACACGGTAAAAAGGTGAGAATTAATTGTGTAATACCTAAAGGTGCCAATGTCCTGCATTTCTAAAGAGAACAGCATCGAAATATATGTACACTATTACGTTCTTAATTTTTTTTTGCCTCGTCTAAAATTGACTATAAGTCGGAGAAGAAATGATGACAAAATTCAAAATTTTCAAGATCGTAATAAATGTTAATTACTCTACTCTTAAAGTTTTTTTTATAGCATAAGGGTGACAAACGAGCACACAGTCCACCTGATGGTAAGTGGTTGCTGCGGCCCATAGACCTACATCTATGCTCTATTACAAATCAAAATGCAGATGCGTTGTCACCCGTGAGGACTAATATGGAATGCCTCATTTCCAGTAAAAAGGGCCTCCGGCCACCTGCACTCACCAAGCGAAACGCAGAGGTAAACCTCTACTTCACGCTGGTATTCTGTGAGGTCGTGGTACCACCCCGGTTCGAACCGGCCCATCCGTGCGACAGCAAAAGCTGCCGCGTTTCTCTACCACTGTTAAAGTATATAAAGAAAAGTAAAGTAACAGCTTATATACGTCTCACTGCTGGGCACAGGCCTCCTCTCATTTCTGAGCGGCTTTTAGGGCAAGAAAATGTCTGTCGAGCTGCCCCAGAGCATGTTGGTGACTGCAGAAGTCTCCGAAATATTTCTTTTTATTATTCCTCAGACATGCAGGTTTCTTCACGATGTTTTCCTTCACCACCTAGCACGTGGCAAATTAGCACTTAAAATTGCAAGTAACAATTTCATTGGTGCCGGCGGGGAACGAACCCGGGCTGCTCTCGTACTGTGAAATTTACTGCAATCGCTTAGCCCCTGATCTGCCACGACTCTAAAGTATAGAAGTCTAATTACATAGCAACGTCGATATAAAAACAATTAATAGACATTGTCAAATAGCGCGTTGAATGAGCGGCAAGTACACAGAACTCGAACGATACAGGAATTCCGATACACTTCGAGTTAATAATCGAGCAGTTGATTGAGGGCAATTACCGTATTTCCTCGACTAAGTAAACATAGAACTACAAAATATGAAAATGCTTAGGTATTTTACGATAAAATTTTGTACTTTTAGTAATTTTAGATAAAAACCTACAAAATTATTTTTTGACTTCATCTCGATTAACGTCACATTTTTGGGAATAAAAATACCATAGAGAACGTACTAAACGACTGATGTAGAATTATGTTGGTTATGAAATTCCAACTAAATAAATTCTGAACATACTTGGGTCTGCCCCATGCTGGGTCTGCTTACGATGTGAGTGACGAGAGTGTCGGACGCTCTAAATGTATGCTGAATGCATCGCCAAGCCACACGCCTCGCCAAACGCTCTTGAGCATAGAGTAACAAACAAGCTTACAGTTCACCTAATCGTAAATGACTACATAGGCCCGGCGCGCACTGTCGGGATGGCACGACAAGGATTTATAGGTAGCGAATAACATTATTACTTAATACTGTCAAATTATACTTTTTTTTCATAGGGTCAGGTTGACAAACCAGCACACAGTTCACCTGATGATATGTGGATGCTGTGGCCCATAGACATCTACATCTATCCTCGATTACGTATCGAAATGCAGATGCGTTGTCACCCGTGAGGACTAAGGTGGAATGCCTCTTTTCCAGTAAAAAGAGTCTCCGGTTCTCTACACTAACCATACAAAACACAGCAGCGTTAAGCTGCTATTTTACGCTGGTATTCTGTGAGAGCGTGGTCGTTACCCGGTCGAGCCAACCCATTCGTGCTACAACTATACTACTAATATAGCTGCAACATGGCTTTATCAAGTATAATAAAATACCAGACAATAACATGTACTAGTCAAAGAAAAAAAATACTACCGTACAATTACCCTGTAGCGGCCGGTGTAAGAATATTCAGTAGCCTATATTATCCTGTAGGTGTCGTAAGAGGCGACAGAACAAATGAGGAGATGGAAACCAGCGTCTTGCCAATAACGACTAAATATAATAATAAAATTGCGCTTTGCAACCAGCTTGCCAAGCATGGCAACTATGGTAAATATCCAATAAGCAATACATAGAGGAGACCTATGTTTAGCAGTGGACTTTAATAGGCTGTACCACTACTCCCAACACCACTACACAAGGCTTTAATAGTGCACACCATCGATAATACTTTTCATCTTGCTCTAAACGAGCCATAAAATCTTAGGAGTCAGCCACCGCTGAGTTTACTTTACCTTATTTTTAACATTTTTAATTTATTATTCAAACCGGAACTTAGTAATCGCCATACAACCGCGTAGCTGCAGAACTTGGTTAGAACTTGACTAAAGATCAATAAATGCAATGTCCACTCCATAATAACTCTGTTCCTTGATTATAACTAATATAGCAGTAATCGCGATGCTCTTTTAATTAAAGATTACCCGGTCGAGCCAACCCATTCGTGCTACAACTATAATAGTAATATAGTTACAGCACATAACAGTCCATCTACTGCTGGACATTGGCTTCTCCCACAGTGAGAAGGGTTATTTGCTTCAAGGGTGATGCTTGGCTGGTTTGACGATCGATATTTGATGCTGCTCCCCTTCGCCGTTCTGGTTATTTTACGCCTACCACAATCGAGGTGCTATATATATATATAACGGAACGCATAACATTTTTTAGTATAACCCAAAGTCGTTTTCATGACACTCATAGGAAGAAATTGGGTGATGATTTTCTTACGCCACCGCCACACAAACTATTTCTTTATTTTTTAATATATATTTTTTTTAATTACTCCTATTGTTGAAACCTTCAAACAATGTTTTAACTTAATGTATTGGGACATACTCTACCAGTCAGTCCTTATTTGCCAGGGTGAATAGCACAAAACAATAATTGTTTAAGTGCAGCTGACACTCGAAAAATCATAAATAGGTATGATAATAATCAAAATAAAATAAGCTGCATAATTATTAAAATTTATTGTTGCGCAAATTTTATTATCTTTAATGCCCCTTCCAGTTACTCTGTAATCAATTGAAGGGTTATTAGAGAATGCATTCCCGCTTAGCGATCGTCATTAACATACTAACTCGTTGAAGTTTTTGCGTGCGGTGAGCTCTTGAGGATAGGTCTCCTTTATTAACCGCCTTGGCACTTA